GTTGATGATGAAAAAGAAATTATGAGTAGAGAAATAACCTATTCAAGGTTAGAATAATATTTTAATATACCAAAGTATCAACCTGACCAACCCAACTAACCCGTACGGGTTTGATTGGGTTGGGTTGGGTTAGATTGGGTTAAGATTTTTCCAAACCGCAAGCATTAGGTTGGGTTGTTCAAATGTTTTCAACCCGATCAATCCAACCCATGAACACCCCTAATTAGAAAAATGAATTATCCATTTGGTTTGATAGAGTTAAAAATAATTGGTTCAGATTTTACATTTTATTTAGATTTGGTCATTGACTTTGAACTATATTACCATTTTCACTATTTTATTTAAAGAAATTTATTAGCATTTGTTTTTATGTGGCGCATTCAAATATTTCCTCTAATATATAGTGAAAGCACAAACCATGCATTCACCAAGAATTTTCCCTCTTTTATACTTTCTTCTGGTCCTTCTTTTTTCCGGCAATGCGGCCACCGGAATCACCCGTCTTATCAATCACCGTAAACCTCAATAAATACGGGAAGGAGTTTATGTTTGTGGGGATGTCCGCATCAACACAGGGAAGCATTGAAGTTCACTCACTTCAACGGTGGAGTTGCAACTCGTCTTTTGACTCAAAACCCGAACCAAATTCACCACCACCACCAACACCAACCACCGTAAACACTTCACAGCCGTCGACAACTCCAACTGCCCATAAAACCAAAAAACAGAGCAAATTGGTTCATCTGAAATCCAAGAACCTTGTAAAGATAATGGCGGCGTTGGGGGCAGCAATAGCAGTAGTAGTAGCAGTTGGCTGGTATTGTAAATGCAAATGTTTTTGCTGTAACGTGAAAATTGCATCAATCAATTTTGTATATGAAGCCGATTCCAAAGGTGGGAGTCAGATGATTCTTCCGATAGCCCAATCCGAAAAAATTAATTCGGCGATGGTCTGAGTGTATGTATGTATAATTGTGTGATTGTTTTCTTTCTTTCTTTCTTTTTTGTATGTATACATATGTTTGTATATTCAATATAAAAAAGGGTTTGTTAGGGATAGAAACAGAGGGTATGTATAAGTTCCCTGGGTACCATTTTTGAATTGTGGTTGGATTATTATAAGAATGATAGTTGCAGAAATTCCAACATTATTGATATGTTTGAAAAAGGTTATGATTTTGCTCCTTTTCTGTCTAACTAGTTGTGTACCTGCGCAATGCGATGAGAGCTATGAATTTTAACGATTTTGAAGTTTCACTGGTTTTATAAGATAAGATTTAACGATGATATAAGTTACACTTGGTCTTTACATATAAATACAATTTGAATAAATAAGAGTTATGGTTTCAATTACAGACTATCGATGAAAAAAATTGTATAAGAGT